TGCCTACAAATTTCATGATGTTGTTTTTTTTTTAACATTTGAGTAATATTCCATTGTATAAATGTAACACATTTTCTATATCCTTCAGTTGATGGACTTCTAAATTATTTCCTGTTATTGTTTCTGGCTATTATGAATAAAGCTGCTATGAACATAGTTGAGCATGTGTTCTTGTGGTAGGATGAAATTTCCTTTGACTATATGCTCAGGAATGGAATAGCTGGGTCTTGAGGTAGTTCAATTCCCAATTTTATGAAGAACCACCATACTGATTTCAAAGTAGCTGTACACATTTACACTCCCACCAGCAATGGAGGAGTGTTCCCCTTACTCCACATCTTTGCCAGCATGAGCTGTCACTTGGAGTTTTGATCTTAGCTATTCTGACAGGTGTTAGATGGAATCTCAGAGTAAGTTTGATTTTCATTTCCCTGATAGCTAACAGTGCTGAACATTTCTTGAAGTGCTTCTCAGTCATTTGAAATTCCTCTGTTGAGAATTCTCTGTTTAGATCTGTTCCCTATATTTTAATTGGACTATTTGGTTGGTTGCTGTCTAGTTTCTTGAGTTCTTTATATATTTGGAAATTAGCCCTCTGTTGGATGTGAGGTCTTTTCACACTCTGCAGGGTACTGTTTCGCCTGTTGATGGTGTCCTTTGCCTTACAGAAACTTCTCAGTTTCATGAGGTCACATTTATTGATTGTTGATCTTAATGCCTCTGCTGTTGGTGTTCTGTTTGGGAAGTTGTTTCCCAAGCCAAGGCATTCAAGGCTGTTCCCCACTTTCTCTTTTATCAGATTCACTGTATCTGGTTTTATGGTTGATGTCTTTGATCCACTTGGACTTGAGTTTTTATACAGGGTGGTAGATATGGATCTATTTGTATTCTTCTACCTACTAACATCCAGTTAGACCAGCACCATTTGTTGAAATGCTTTCTTCTTCCATTGTATAATTACAGCTTCTTTGTCAAAAATTAGGTGTCTATAAGTAATTTACATCTGAGTCTTTGATTCCATTGATCAACTTGTCTGCTTTTATGCCAACACCATGAAGTTTTTATTACTATTCCTCTGTAGTACAACTTGAAATCAGTGGTGGTGATACCTCCAGAAGTTCCTTTATTATACAGAATTGTCTTAGCTATCCTGGGTTTTTTGTGTTTTTTTTTTTCCATATGAAGTTGAGTATTATCTTTTCAAGGTCTGTAAGGAATTGTGTTGGAATTTTGATGGGGATTGCATTGAATCTGTGGGTTGTTTTTGGCAGGGTGGCCATTTTTACCATGTTAATCCTGCTGATCCATGAGCATGGGAGATCTTTCTACCTTCTGTTACCTTCTCCAATTTCTTTCTTCAGAAACTTGAAGTTCTTGTCATACAGGTCTTCCCATTGCCTGGTTAGAGTTACACCAAGATTATTTTATATTATTTGTGGCTATTGTGAAGGGTGGTGTTGCCCTGATTTCTTTCTCAGCCTATTTGTCTTTTGTATATAGGAAGTCTACTGATTTGGTGGTGGTGGTGGTGGTGGTGGTAGTGGTGGAGGTGGTGGTGGTGTCAGTTAATCTTGTATCCAGCCACTTCACTGAAGGTGTTTATCAGCTAGGAATTCTCTGGTAGAATTTTTGGGGTCATTTATGTATACTATCATATCATCTGCAAAAGTGATATTTTGACTACTTGCTTTCCAATTGATCTTCCTTTCCCACTGATCTCCTTCAGTTGTCCAATTGCTCTAGTGAGAACTCCAGGTACTACATTAAGCAGAGATGGAGAGAGTGAGCAGCCTTGTCTCGTTCCTGATTTTAGTAGAATTATTTTGAGTTTCTCTCCATTTAATTTGATGTTGGCTATTGGCTTGCTATATATTGCCTTTATTATGTTTAGGTATGTCCTTTGTATCACTGATTTCTCCAAGACTTTTGTCATGAAGGGATATTGGATTTTATCAAAGGCCTTTTCAGCATCTAATGAGACTATATCTTTTAAAATATGCATGGGGGCTACAGAGATGATTTACCACCCAACATCTGTCAGTAATTCCAGTAACTCTAGCTTCTGGAGATAAAATACCTTCTTTTGACCCCCCAGAAGCACCCATATGAGTGTGGTGCACACGCACACATGCACACGCAAGCACACACACACACACACATAAATTAAAATAACAGTCTGGGTGTAAGGGCACTGATGTCCTAAATTCAATCCCTAGGACTCACATAGTGGAGAGAGAGAACTGGCTCCCACAGGTTGACCTCTGGCCTTCACATGTGTGAGAGACACACACACCCACAGTTGCAACATAAAGTGTCAAGTGATTTTACGAAACACTTCTGGGGAGTAGCTCACTGGTAAAACACTTGCCTGACATGCTGGGAGATGTTTAGAGGGCTTTTTAAGTCAAGAATAGATAACACATAGGAGATCAGAGGCCTTTGTGCACCGACAAAGGCTTGAAAAATTATCTAGAAATAAAGCACGCAGGAAGTGTCATGCAGTGATCAGGCTGTGTTAGTCAGAAGTCAAGGTTACAGATCATGAGGAAAGTGGTACAGGAAATTCAGATTAAAGCCACTGAAAGCAGCCAGGCCCAGCATTTCTTATTCCCCCTTCCCAGCTCATTCTCGAGCCCTCCCCACTTCTGCCTCAGTTTCCTCTCTTGCTGTGGAAGCAGTGGGGAGAAGCTTAGGCAGGTTTACGAGTGTTTTCTCTACATTATCTAGCCAGCTGTTTTTAACTGTACATAGGAAATATGCCCAGAATCGGTCTTCAAAAGTTCTGAAGTTTTGAGTCTCTGTAAATGAATCTGCATAGTTCGAAGCTGATTGCTTCATTTCACTGGGTGGCTTCTGTTCGTTTGTTCTTGTTGCTTTGAGAGGGTCTCATGTACCCTAGGCTGGCCTCAAGCACAATGTGGTACCAAAGTTAGCCTTGAACTTCTGGACCTCCTGTCTCTACTGCCCCAGTACTGAGATTACATGTCTGACTTTAAATGGGTGGCTTAAAAAAATGCTTATTTTGTTGTCATCTAGGGGCATGGGGGAGATGCTCTCATGCTTATGGGTGCCTACAGAGGCCAGAAGAGGACATCTAACCCCCTGGAATTGTCAAGTGGATGCTAGGAATTGAACCCAGGCTCTCTGGAAGAGCAGTCAGTGCTCTTAACCACTTAGCCATCTCTCCAGGATCCCGGGGTGGCTTTTTAAAACAGTAGTGGGAGCCAATGAGAAAGCACCGCATGTGAAGGTTCTGCTGCCAAGGCTGAAGACCTGAGTTCGGTTCCCAGAGGCCAAGGGATAAGAGAAGAAAACCAACTCCACAAGCCAATGCTTGATCTCCACATATGCACACTCACACGCACACACGTGCACACAAATAAACTAAAGTGATTTTATTTTAATGACATTATATTTGTGTGTGGAAATGGGTCATGCATGCCGCACTGCACATGAGGAAGTCAGACCATGACCCGCAGGAGTCAGGCCTCTCCTTCCACCATGTGGGCCCCAGGGATCAAACTCAGGTTGTCAGGTTTAGTGGCAGGAGCCTTTACCCACTGAACCATCTTTGTAGCCTGGTAAATGACATTTTAAAGTTTAAAGTAAGAGGCTGGGGAAAGAACTTAACGGATAAGGCATCTGCCATGCAATTGTGAAAACCTGAGTTCAGAACCCATGTAAAGACAGACTTGGTGGCACACATCTATAATCCCACACCCCTATAGTGAGATGGGAGGCAGAGAGAGAAATTCAGGACTCTTGTAGGCCAGCCAGCCCAGAGGATGCAACAGAGATAAGATCCTGTCTCAAACCAGGTGGTAGGTGAGGGCTGACACCTCTGACTTCCATACAACCCAAATACACCAAAACAATAATAATAATTAAGATTTATATTCATGGGCATGCTCATGTACGTGTGGATGCATGCACAGGTGTCTGTAGAGGCCCACAACAGGGTGTCAGATCCTCTGCAGGAGAGATACAGGAGGATGTGAGCTACCAGGATTGGGTGTTGGGAATAGAACTCAGATCCTCTGGAAGAACAGGGAGGACTCTTAGCCACTGAGCCATCTCTCTAGTCCCATGAAGATTCTTTTAAAAGAATGTCTGTTGGGCTCTGATGGTTTAGGAAGGCAAGCTTCAGGGAACTGTAGACAAGGAAAGTGTTGCCTCAGATAGTGCCTGGAAGACAGGGACTCAAGTCTTCCAGGAACCCCCTTGAATGCATTAAAATATTGTTTGCTTATATGAACTTACCAGAAGCCCACTTCTTCTACGAGGGTGAGTCAAATGTGCACATCTGTGGGGCTGTAGTATGTTTTGATAACATAACTGTCCTGATGTTTCTGGTCCTACCCCTGACCTACAAGAATCCTTAACTGTGGACTCTTATATGACCGGGTACCAGTGCTTGAGGGGGAAGGAGCTGTCCCCAGACACACAGGCTCTCCTGAGACAGCTGTGATAGACTCTGTCATCTGAATCTTGCCCTCAGTGAAGTGGATCTGCCACACATCTCAGGTGTGAGACAATGAGGCTGGCTGCAAGTGAGATGGGGACTGATGCTATTCTCTGGTCTCTGTGGGCACGCCAGGGACCTGACTCATGGGACCCCAGATCAGGGACTTGAGAGTAGAAGCAGAAGTGACCTGTAAACTTTAGAACTTGAAGCAGCGTGAAAATGGGGGATGCTTCATGTAGACCAGCAGAAGCCAGTCCTGCCCTGTGGAAGGCATATCAGCATTAAAAGACTCCTAAGACCTTCCTACCTAGGCAGTCTTCTGGTAGCTTATCTGTGCCTAAGGATGACAGGATCTCTGAGGCTTGCTATGTCTCAGAGGGCTTCTGCCGTGGCTCACCATCTTTCCCATCAGTCATAGAGGAGGTGGGGCGCTAATCACCCAGTTCCAAGTAGCCCCAGGCTGTGTGTGGTGGGCTGTTGAGAGACAGTGTGCTTTAGCCATCCAATCTCAAGCCTGACCTACTCTTCACTCTAGGTGGAAGAGACACAGACAGAACTCCTGGAGACACTGGACAGAGAAGGAAGGCTCCTGGAAGGAAGGCATGAGGAGGCTGGGCAAGGTGAGAAGTGAAGAGGCCCCGGGTGGCTCCTCATGGGGGATTCAGAGGGGGTGATAGGATTTTCCTTGGGGTGTGCCTTTAACATTATGTCACCAAGCTTTGCTTTGCTTTGCTTTCCTCTATTTGAGCATCCTCCCCACCACACCCATTTTTCTTTCCTTCTAAAAACATATCCAGGAAGTCTGCCCACCTTAGGTGGGGCATACCAGCACACATCTATAATCTCAGCAGCTGGGAATGGCAGCGACAGGAGAGTCAGGAATTCAATCACATCCAAAATGGAGGTCAGTTTGAGCTACTCCAAACCACGTCTCAAAAAGGGAGGAAGCCAGATCTAGAAAATTTATACAAATGAAATAACTTTTTAAAAAACATCTTCTGTCCATACAATGATGATGCCTAAAAATTATGGCTAGGATGAGGCTAGGGAGATGGTTCAGTGGGTAAAATGCATGTGGCACAAGTGTGAGGACCCAAGTTCAGATCCCCAGAACCCATGTAAAGAAGGACTACAGTGTGTGTGTCTATTCTGCTCTCATATGGTGAGATGGGAAGTGGAGACAGGAGAATCCCCAGAATATCACTGGCCAACTAACCTACTGTATGCAATGGCACACAAGGTCAGCATCAGGTTAGCCTCTGACCTCTGAATGTGTCTGCCTCTGACCTCTGCATGTGTCTGTGCTCAACACACACACATATACATACACACAGTACATTCACCATATACACACACAAATATGAAAGAAAGTATGTCTAAGATAGTCAAGTATGGTTCGTGGCCATGTAATCCCATTACACACAAGGCTGAGGGTAAGAGGACCACTGTTAAGTCTGAGGCCAGTGTGGGCAAGCATAGTGAGTTAAAAGCCAACCAAGAAAGACACAGCAACAACTGTCTCAAAAAAAAAAAAAAGTAGCAAGTTGAGACTATAGACTGCTCTTCCAGAGAATCTGAGCACTCACATCTGTAAGTTTATAACCACCTGTAACTCCAGTTCTGAGGGCTCTCTTCTGGCTTCCACAGGTATTGCAGTTATATACATAAACTGACAGACAGACACACACACACACACACAAACACTGAAAATTAGGGTTTTTTTAATTAAATAATGTTTTTTTGATCATATTAATGGTTTTTAAATAACTTAGAATTGAAATGACCAAGTTCATGTATACTTATTTTTCCAGATTGGTAAAAACACACATACAACATTGGTATGTGTGACACTGGTGACATTTAATGCACTTACAATCCACTAAATGCATTGTAAATACAATTATTACTACCACTCAAGAACATTCTCCTTACCTCAAAAAGAAACACCCAGCAGTAGTCACTCCTAATCTTCCCACCAGCCTTTGGCAACTGCTAACCTCTTCTCCAATTTCATGGCATCAGACTCATACAAATGACATTAGACAGCCTAGCTTACTTCACCCAACAAGATGCTTCCGTGTTACTACATACAGCTGGACTCCATTTCTTTTTTATGGCTGAGTCATACTTCACTGAATTGGATGTACCATACTTGACTTATTCATATGGATATTCAAGCTGCCTTTACCTCCAGCCACTGTGAATGGTACCACTAGCCCAAGTATTTACTTCAACAGGTGTTTCTATTTCACCTCACCTTACAAATAGAAGGGAATTATGGTATTTCTATACTTGACCTTCAGAGAGACACCCAAACTCTTTTCCATAGCAGCTATCCTACTTTATGCTCTTCCCAGTAAGGTGTGAAGGTCCCAGTGGCTCCCCAACCTTGTCAATGTGTATCACATGTCTATTTCTGTTGTCACTGTGGTGAGCACCAAGTGTCATCTCATTGTGGGTGTCTACTTGGTTTTCTTGTTCGTTTGCTATTGTTTGAGACATAATCTCACTGTGTAACCCTGGCTGGCCTGGAACTTATTGATTGCCCAGCCTGACTTGCAGTTTGCAATGATCCTCTTGCCTCAGCCTCCTAAGTGTTGGAATTAAAGGCATGTGCTAACACACCCATACCGTGTGTTACTTTTGAGACTGGATATTACTAACCCAACCAGCCTAGCTTCAGCCTCCTAAGTGCTGAAGTCACAGGGTGTGACACCATGCCTGGTTTATTGAACTTTTGATCTACATTTCCCTAACTACTAACTGGTTGACATATTTTTGTGTACTGTTAGCATTTACATAATACTTTGGTAAAGTTATGTATGTTTTAACAGCATTAAAATTGACCTTGAAAATGAACACGCAGAATAATAAATCCAGAATTATTATTTTTTGGTTTTGGTTTTTTTTTTAAGACAGGGTCTTGCTATGTAGCTCCGGCTATATAATAACTGGAAACATTATAATTAGGACAGAGGTCTGAATAAGTCCTGGAAGTCACTCTGTAGATCAGGCTAGCCTTGAACTCACAGAGATCCACTTGCCACTACCTTCTGAGTGCTGGCACTAAAAGCATGAGCCACCATATCTGGCTCCAAATCGCTTCCTTTATAAGTTGTTATGATCATACAGCATTCATGTATAAATTTTATAACTTGTTCTTTAAAATATTTGTGTGTATATGTGTACAGTACCTTCAGAAGCTAGAAGAGAGCATCAAATTCCCTGCAGCTGGAATTACAGGAGATTATGAGCCGTGGTCACTGAACTCTGGTCCTCTGTAAGAGCAACAGATGCCCTTGAAGCTGAGCCTTCCTCTAGCCCTTGGGGTTTTGTTTTGTTTTTTGTTTGTTTGTTTGTTTTCATTTAACACTATAGCAAGCATGTTACCAAGTATAGCTACAAAAATGAAGGCTGCCTATAATCCGGCACTCAGGAAGCTGAAGCAGAAGGATGACAGGGAAATTGAAGCCAGCATGGGCTACAGTGTAAGGCCATGCCTGATTTAAAAAAAAAAAAAAGGCAAGTTTAGACAATAACATGTGTTTGCATAGTTCCTGGAAGTCTAGAAATCTAGATTTGGTCCTTAAAAGTAATCTTTTTTCATAAAGATTTGCTTCTCCCTTGGCTTTCAATCCTTCTTCCCAGAAACACAGTAACTAAGACAGAGGTCTGAAGGCATTTCAAAACCTTGAAACATTGTAACATTGGTACAGAATGTTTAGCAATAGAATTTGAACCCCTGGAGGGCAGCTAACCAGCAAGCTCAGCATCTCTCCAGTTTCTCTAAAATCCACCTTCTCTACCATCATGGGAAAAAATCTGTGAGCATTGGTTTAGTAATATTTAGTACAATAAATATATAGCTGCCAAGTGACCCACTATGAAGCCCAGGAGCATGCCAATTCAATCTTCCTGGTAGTCAGAATTTCTTCCTATTTTTCTGTTTTCTTTTTTTTCATAAAGTATATTTTATTTATTTATTTATTTATTTATTTATTTATTTATTTATGTGTGTGTGTGTGTATGTGTGTGTGTATGTGTTTATATGTAGTTGAATGCATACCACAGCACATGTGTGGAGGTCAGAGGACAACTTGTGGGAATCAGTTCTCTCTTCCTACCACATGGGTCTTGGTGATCCAACTCAGATCATCATAGTGACACCTTAACCCAAATAACAAAGATGCATTTAGTGTTTTTGTTGCTGATGGTTGTTTTCATTATTTGAGACAGATCTCACAATGTACCCTTAGCTGGCCTGGAACTTGCTATGTAAACCAGGCTGGCCTCAAACTCCCTGAGCATCTCCTGCCTCAGCCTCCCAAGTGCTGGGATAAAAGATGTGTGTTACTACCTGGTTTTATTTGGTTGGTTTGGGTTGGGTTGGGTTTTGGTTTGGTTTGGTTTTTTGAGACAAGGTCTCACTCTGTAGCCTAGGCTAGCTTTGATATATTTGATATATTTCTGGTGATCCCCCTATGTCTGCCTTCCAACTACTGAGATTACAGGTTCGAGCCACCATACCTCGCCGTGAGCTCTCTCTCCTATGATGCTGCTCTCTATGACCCTGGCCCTTGGCTATAGTTAACTCCCTCTTCCCATCACCCCTGTTGTATTTCTCTGCCTGGTCATTGATTGACTATTTCTGAATGATCAGACAGATAAGTCTGAGTCCCAATAGGGTCTGTGGGAAAGTAGAGTGAGTGGTAAGTCTCATCAGACCTATTGTAGGATGGGCCGATCTCCAGCATTCTGCGCTGCCCATCTGGTCTCTTTCCCCTGGATCCTGCCCTAACAGACAACCTGTTGGAGATTTTCTTGGCCCCATTTCACAGCTAGGGTGATGGACTTTGAGCCACTTACTGTCATCTTCTAACAGTCTCTCCAACTTGAAGCAGAGGAGGCAGAACTTTGGGGATTCCTGCCACAGATGCTCTGTCCTTTTTGTGATTTCATGACCCAGCCTCAGCTGTACACCTTTCCCCTGGCCTGCTGCAGCAAGATGCTACCATACCTGCTACAGGATCCTTGTGTCTGAGCTTCAGGGAGATAGTGCCCTCCTGCTCTGGTAGGGCTCACTCTCTCTCTCAGGAGGAGATGTTTCTGTTTCCCAGGGATTTGTTAAGCCCTACAAATGTCTCTAACTCTGGTCCTGCATTCCTTCTGTGGCCGTAATGAAATATTCTCACCAGGAGCAGCTTGAAGAGAAAAGGGTTTATTTGGCTTAAATTTCTGGGTCACATTCCCATCCTTAGAGAAGTCAGAGCAGGAACTCAAGGCAGGAACCTGGAGACAGGATCTATGGAAGAACGCTAATTGCTAGCCTTCCCTACCACAGTGGGCTGAACCCTCCCACATCAATTAGAAGTCGGTGCTCCACAGATAGACCCACAGGCCAGTGTGACCCTGCCCATTCCTCAGTTGAGGTTTCCTCTCCTTGAGTGACTCTGGACTGTATTGAGTTGATAATAAACTCTAACCAGCACAGCTCGTGAGCCAGCATGGGAGAGAGAAGGACAAAGACCACCATTGCTCAGCTCCTGGGTCCTGTGGGCCCCATGTGATCATCAGAACCTCCCATGCTTTAAGAAACTCGACAGAGGCTTTGGGGAAAGTGATTTATAGAGCTCTCCTTTCTTCACAGTCCCACAGACATCGAAGGCACAGGAGAAAGACACTCTTAGTGACTGCATCCAAGAGACCGAAGCCTCGCTGCAGGTGAGAGGGGCCTGGCCATTTGGGTTTGGGAGGTGAAGAAATGACAAGGAAGTCATGGGGACCCTCAAAACAGCTAAAAATGATGCCTAGATTATAGGGGACTGAAGTGCTTGTTTTCCATGTGTCCTCATTCTTCGATGGGACCAGATAGTTGGTTAAGAGGACTTGGCTTGCAATTAAGGTTGGCCTCCTTCCGGGGGGGTGAGGGGGTACTAATTAATTTCATTATTTTGTCATTTTATATGTATGTTTTTGTCTATATGTATGTCTATGCACCCTTGTATGTCTCGAAAGAACTATAGACAAACGGTTGTGAGCCATCATGTGCGTGCTGGGAACTAAACTGAAAGATCCTCTAGAAGAGAAGGCGGTGTTGGGCCCTGTCTCCAACACAAGCTTTTTTGTTCATTGTTAACTTGACATAACCTAGAATGGCCTGGGAAGAAAGTCTTAATGAGTGATTGTTTGCATTGAATTGTCCTGTGGGGTATTGTGTCAATTAAGCTCACTAGGAAGATCAGCCTGATGTGGGCAACACCCAACCCCAGGGAATTCAGGATCCTGAACTATGCCAGGGTGAGGAGAGCACACTGAGTACAACCAAGGAAGCAATCGAGCATGTATACATTAATTTCTCTGTTTGTTTGTTTGTTTGTTTGTTTGTTTACTGTGATTGTGCTGTGACTAGCTGTTTAAAGTTCCTATCTGTGGGGAAGTTGACTTCCCCAAAATGATGGACAGTAACCTGGAATTTTAATCTGAAAATGACTCCTCTTGCCCCTAAGTTGCTTTGTGTTGGGATGTTTTATCCCATAGCAACCGAGAGGAAAGTAGAGCACATACCAAGGACTGTCAGGAGGATCTTGGCAATGGCACAGACTGTAGGAGTCCAGAAAGACTTCCCAGAGGGATGGGGTCTAAGCCTGGAAGATCCTTGGGACGCTTCAGTGAGGAATCACAGGAAGAAAGTTCTAAGCAGCATAAAGCAACTTTCTCAAAAGCATGGAGGAAGGGGTACAAACAGGTTGCCTAAGGAAGTCCAGGATGCCAGAGATGTAGAAGGACCAGAGGGAGGCAAGCACCATAGGGTGGAACTGAGCCTGGGAACATAGGAAGAGGTTGGACTCTGCGACAAAGGGGATGGCTGAGGAGATCTTTGTCAGGGGAAAGGCACAGAGACAGCATGCCCTGAGACTGGGGTAGGGTGTCACGAGGAGCCACCGCATAGACAGGTAGAGCCTGACATGACTGGGCTTTGAATGTAGGTTGACATTGATCTTAAATAACCAGGATATCATCCCAAGAATTTAGGGATCAGTATTAGTTAACTTTTCTCACTACTCCAATCAAATACCTGACAAGAAGCACCTTCAGGGAGGAAGAGTTCACGTTCGCTTATGGTTTGAGTCATTCCGTTGTGGTGGGAGGATGTGGAGGCTGGTCGAGTTGCACCCAGTTAGGAAGCAGAGAGTGACAGACACTGATGTTTTGCTTGCTTTGTCCTCTTTATGCAGTGCATGACCCTGGCCCATGGCATGGTGTGACCCAGATTTTTTTAAAAAGGGCGAGGAGAGGCTCTTCCCACCTCAGCTAACCTGATCTAGAAAAACTCTCAAAGGCATGCTCAGAGGTTTGTCTCTTGGTGACTCTAGATCTTGTAAAGTTATCTATCTGTATTCCATTAAAAGCTCTACAGTGAGAGGTCGTCCTGGACTGTTTCAAGCCTTAGATGCAATGGATTCAGCCTGCTCTGCTGCACAGTATACGATGTAGGCCAGAATCGCAGTGAAGAACCTTGGCCCTCCCGTTTTTTATTGGTATAGTGAGAATCACCTTGACGGGCCAGGCTCTTTGCTATCTCCCTCCTGCTCCCTTCCTCAGAACACCTGTGCAATTCATGTCTCACCACAGGAGGCCACGCAAGCCAAGATGAACAAGGTGGACGGGTCCATCCTTAGCCGACTCTATAAAAACCACATCCAGGTAGGTACAGAACACTGGCAGACCTTTATCCTTGATGCTATGGGAAGGTGATGGGCAGGCAACTCTAGAGAGGAAGCCTCAAACCTGACAATTTCCCCTTCACAAGAGCCCAGGAGCATGAGGGTCCTCAGTTCACACTGAGAGAGGCAGATAGATGGTGGATGGAACACACAGCTCTATTGGGTCCAGAGAGAACTTGGGGTAACTAGCCAACCTGACACAAGACAGCATTTCAGCCTACCAAACTACAGCTGTGCACCCACCAGGCACATGCCTCAAAGAATGCCCCTGGGAGGAGATCCGAGAAATAAACAGCATGACGGTGAAATCACCCAAGGCCAATGCAGTGGGCTTCTGGGAGGATAGGGAACAGGGAGGACCCATGTCCCTCCATGCTGGTTGATGAGGCCCTTTGGTGTCCTTCTCTAGGATTATGGGAGCCCTGGACCGTTCTGGGAGCAAGAGCTGGAGAGTTTGCACCATGTTATTGAGATGAAGAATGAGCGGATTCATGAGCTTGAGAAGCAGCTCTTGCTCCTGGAGATGCTGGTGAGTGCTGGGCCCAGAGCTCGTAGCTGCTGCTTTCTAGGCATTTCCGGTTCCAGTTTATCCCCCCCCTCCGCCCACTCCCATCCCTCTTCCCATCCTTGTCAGCTTGGCTCTGCCACTCCTGCAGGAGTCAGGCAGTGACTCTTTGTCGTTTCTTGGGCCCCCAGGTTGCTGTAACTAGGGCAGCACTGGGCCCTAACAGCCTGGCTCCTCAGGAGGAGTGGCAGCTGTCAACTTGCAGGCAGAGGTTAAAAAAGGAGATGGGGCCCACAGGCCAGACAGACAGGGATGCTAGCCTTAGTAAACGTGGAACTGGGGACAGAAGACCCTTTGAAGACCCAGAACCAAGGTCTCAGAACCCTAGGGCAGCATTACCCTTAGGGTCTGTCAACTTATGGATTTGGTTTGTTTGGGTTTTTATTTGGTTGGTTGGTTGGTTGGTTGACTGACTGACTGACTGACTGACTGATTGACTTTGTGTATGTATGGGTAAATGGGTGTTTTTCATGGCATATATGAGAGGAAGTCAGATGACAACTTGCAGGAGTGAGTTTTCTCCTTTCTCCCTGCTGGTTGCTGGGATTGAACTTGGATTGTCCAGGTTGGCAGGAAACACCCTTCACCCAAGCTACCTTTTTTTTTTTTTTTTTTTTTTTTTAGGTTTTTTGAGACAGGGTTTCTCTGTGTAGCCCTGGCTGTCCTGGAACTCACTCTGTAGACCAGGCTGGTCTCGAACTCAGAAATATACCTGCCTCTGCCCCAGTCAAGTGCTGGGATTAAAGGCATGTGCCACCACTGCCTGGCCCCAACCACCTTTTTTTAAACCCTTTTTAAAAATACTATTTAAGATTTATTTTTATTTTGTGTATGTGTTTTGCCTACATCTATGTCTGTCCACCACATGAATGCAGGGGACCAGAAAGAGGGTATTGGATCCAGTGAACTGGAGTTACAGACAGTTATGAGAAGCCTTGTGGGTGCTGGGAATTAAACTGGGTTCCTCTGCATGAGCAGCCAGTATTCTTAGCCACTGAGCCATCTCTCCAGGCCTGACTGAGTTATCTTACCAGCACTGGTTTTTTGTTTTTAACACTCTTCAGTAGCAAAAGCCAAGTGGACAGTCCATCTTAACTCTGACCTTGTTTCCAGTTAGCTTCTTGCTCCATAAAGCGAAATGCTAATCTGGAATGAAGCAGTGCCCAGGGAGAGGTGATGGCACCACTGTGCCGAGAGTGAGTGAACCACTCCATTCCAAGCTCCTTGGTTTGTTACAGAAAGAAAAAAATCTGATCTTAGCACTGAAAAACACCACCCTGCGGCAGGAGGTTGAGGACCTACAATTCCAAACTGGGAACAAGTTGGCCATGTCAAGGTAGCCATCCCCCTTCCTCCCACCCCCATCCTTCTGCCAAAACTTCCAGTTGGGAGGGACCTGGAAGAGCCTGGGGACTAGAATGACAAGTGGCCCCAGGACCTGTCTTGGGAACGTGACTCCTCTTTCCTTGGGAGTCAGGAAGCCCAGTTTTTCAACATGAGAAACAGGAAACAGGAAACGATGTACCTAAGCAGGCATGTGTGGAACAAATCGGTCCTGAGGCTTTGTAAGTGAGGGCTGATGTCCGTGTCATGGGCTATTGAATACGTGACATATTTTCTGGTGGAATCCTCCTCCAGATCCCCATTTGCGAGTGAGGAAACCGAAACTCCATGCCACCCCAGGTGACCTACCTAGGCAGGGAGGCTCAGCCTAGAGCCACCCAGAGCTCCAACCTGTGAGGATTTGGCACTTGAACAGACAAAATCACCCCTCACATACAGAGAGGGAGCTAGGGTCGGGGGAAACACCTTGGAGAGAGAGAGAGAGAGAGAGAGAGAGAGAGAGAGAGAGAGAGAGAGGATGACACCCCCCCACACACACACCCCGGGAAGTCTCCCTAGGAAAACGGGTTGGTTCAAGTAATAGCTACTCCATCAGGCAACCCTTGCCCTGTCTGTCCCACAGGCAGCTCCGAAAAGACCTACTTCAGGGCCTTGAAAAGGAGTCACAGAACGGCCACTGCTGCAGCAGACGAAGGAGCCACTGAACCATCTGAGTCCTTAAGGCTAGCGCCTCCTCGCCTCCTCCGTGTTACCTTGCCCTCTGCTACACCTCAAAGCCTCTGCCCTCAGTGTAAAAGGCACAGGGCCTGGGCTCACCGTGGTTCCCAGAGTCACCACTCCCTCCAAAGACTCTGTGGAGAAGCAAGCAAGAGCCACGTCATTCTTCTCCCAGGATGGACGAGGTGGGGGGAGGAGAGAAGCTCCTATAAAGCTGATGGGGAAGATTAGGTCACCAAGACCACCCCAAGAAGTGCCTTTCCTTAGTTGGGGCAGGGAACAAGCAGGTAGTTATCTTCCTCCCTTTGCTCTGTCCTCATGAGGACATTCAAGATTTCTCCCATGGCAGCAGGAGCCATTTGCAGCATCTAACAAAGAGGGGACAACCCCAACCCCAGACCGTCAGCTTTGCTGACAATTTGCCAGCCCGTCAAACTCTTACTGTCACACCCATGACTCTGACTCAGAGAAAAACTGTAAAAGACACAATCCAAGAAAAAGGAACACAGTGTTGTATTTACTGAGTGGGGTCTCGACATGTAGCCTAACCTTGAACTCAAAGTCATCCTTCCTCAGTCTCCTGAGTGCCGGCAACATGGGCGTGTGCTATCACATCCAGACAGATAAAGGGTTGGATCTGCTGTAGAGCTGAGTGCTGTTACTATTTTTAAGCATATTTATCTAAGGTCCTAATGTGAAAATTAATTTTTTTTATTAAAATAAAACTCTATTTTCACGTTCTTTTCAGTGAGGGTATATTTCATTCTCTGTCTGACTTCGTTACTTTCCTGTTGCTGTAATAAAACACCCTGCTGAAAGCAGCGTAAAGGAAGAGGGGCTTATTTCAGCTTAGGGTTCTCAAGGAACAGAGTCCATCATGGTGGCAGGAACATGAGGCCTCATAGTCACATGACATCAGCAATCAGGAAGCTGAGGGCAAGGCTATTAAGCCTCAAGGCCCAAGCCCATGAATGTACTTCCTCCAGCAATGAAGTGGCCTAAAGGTTCCAAAACTTTCTCAAACAGTGCCACCACCTGGGGACCATGAGTTTAGCACATGTGAGTCTATAGGAGACTTGTCCTATTTAAACTACATTTGTCAGGACACGCTAATCCTCTCCTGTGGTATGTTCTTAGAAGGTATGTCTTACAGTTTCTTCAGTGTAGGGCAGTGGTTCTCAACATGTGGGTTGAGACCCCCTTTGGGGCGGTCACATATCCTGCATATCAGATAGTTATATTACAATTCATAACAGTAGCAAAATTACAGTTATGAAGTAGCAACAAAATGATTTACAGTTGGGGGTCACTACCACATGAGGAACTGTGTTAAAAGGTCACAGCATTAGGAGGGTTGAGAACCACTGGTGTAAGGTATTTAGGTAGGTTTACATTCTAAGCATCCCCTAAAAGAATTCTAATTGAAATATCTTGTGTAGCCATCTTTGAACAGATTTTTTTTTATACTGAATTTGTCAGAAGAGTCACCTCTAGTGGGCTACAGAAGGGGTCTTACACACTTTTTTTTAATAAAAAGTTTGTTTTTATTTATGTGCATGTGTGTAAGCCTCTGTGTGAGGGCGTGCCATGTGTGCACAGGTGCCTGTGGAAGCCAGAACTAGGTGTCAGATCCCCTGGAGCTGTGAAGTTAAGAATGGTAAGTCACCTGATATGGATGATAGGAACTAAACTCAGGTCTTTTGAAAGAGCAGTAGTCACTTGGGAGGCAGAGGCAGGCGGATTTCTGAGTTCGAGGCCAGCCTGGTCTAAGAGTGAGTTCCAGGACAGCCAGGACTACACAGAGAAACCCTGTCTCGAAAAACCAAAAAAACAAAAAAAAAAAAAAACAAAAAAAAAAAACAAATCAGACAGAGCATTTGGTTCTCTTAATTCTCTCTCTCTCTGTCTCTCCTCTCTCTGTGTCTGTGTCTGTGTCTGTGTCTGTGTCTCTCTCTCTCTCTCTCTCTCTCTCTCTCTCGTGTGTGTGTGTGTGTGTGTGTGTGTGTGTGTGTGTGCGTGCGCGCGCGCGCTGGTAGGTGTATCCAATGCATGTGGAGACTACCCCTGGAAACAGCAGGCTACAAGCTATGGAAAGGAAGAGGCTTTGTAGAAAAGGCCAACCAAAGTCTCTAGTCCTGACTTCTCCAGGACAGTAAGGAAAGTCCTTTTCTGGGCGCCCTGCCATCCAGAGTGGAGTCTTTCAGAGTCCTACCCAGAAAAGAAGCAGGGATATAGCCAGGAAAGGAGAGACTGGGAGGGAGCACTGGGGTCACAGAAGGATCACAGGGAGGGGTTAGGACAAAAATAAGTGCCTGTAGCTGTGGGAAGAGGTGAGATTTGTGTGGCTGTCACAATTTCTCGGCAGAATTTTAAAGTTTATTTTAGGTGTCTGGGTTTTTTTGCCTGCCGAGGGTTCTAGATGGTTGTGAGCTAATAAAGTATAAGTGCTGGGACTCAAACTTGGGTCCTCTGGAAGAGCAGGTAGTGCGCTTAACTGCAGGACCATCTTGCCAGCCCCTCTGCATAATTTTTGAGGGATGAAAGCCTTGAAATGTGTTGTTTTGTTGAGGCAGGACCCCATTCAGCCCAAGCTGGCCTCAAACTCATTATGTAGTTCAGACTAGCCTTCACCTTCCAATCCTCTGCCTTGGCCTCCTTTCAGATGCCCAGAGTCCAGAAGAAGACATTGGATTGCCTGAAGCTGGAGCTATAGGTGGTCGTGAGTTTCCCAACATGGGTGTTGGGAATAGAACACTTGTGATAGAGCTAGAAACACGTTTAACCAATGAGCCATCTCTCCAATCCTCCTAGCCATTTTTTTTTTTGATACAAAGTCTCACTATGTAGCCTTGGCTGACCTGAAACGCGATCTGTAGACCAGGTTGACATCAAACTGATAAAGATCTGCCTGCCTCTGCCTCCTGAGTGCTGGGATTAAAGGCATGATCATCCCTAACAAATGTTTTTAAATGAAGGAAAAATAGCATTTGGTAGCAAGTGATCTGAAATCTGCGTTTCGGTGTCCATAAATGACATCGTGGAACACGGCCACAAGTACTGTCTGTGGTTGTGTTTGTTCTACAGCAGAAGTTTGACTCACCCAGCCTAAGAGAGTGACCACCTAACTTCATTCAGAAAAAGACAACTGATACTTGACCTTTGCTTTCAAAGTTCAAGTCCTTTGAAGTATTTTCACTTAAATGACATAGAACCTTCTCACCCTATGGAAGGGGGAGTGTGGGAGTAAACAATCACAGGGAAAGCTTAAATACTTAAGACCGGGATGTAATGCTTCCCTTGCATACACAAAGCCATGGGTTCAGTCCCCAGCACCACATAAACCCAGTGAGAGAGACAAAACTCTAGTCTCAAGCACTGCGAAGGTGGAGGCAGGAGGATCAGAAGTTCAAGCTCATCATTGATTACATGAGTGTGAGGCCAGCCTGGGCTACATGAAACTTCATCTCAAACAAATCAATGGGGAGGAGGCTATAACATAGCTCAACGCATCCATTTCTCTTCTTACAGCTTTACACTTTGCATATTTTAATGTTTTGGGCTTTGACTTTTTGTTTTTAGACTTGGGTTTTTGTTTCTTTACACCTAAGGATGGCTCGTCCCTGGAGAATCCTTCCAGGGTTCTGCTGAGCATGGCAGTCAGCCTGGTGAAGAGCAGCCTCAGCCAGCTGAACTTAGGCTCCCACGGCTTGCTCTGCCACCTGCTGGTTGACCATGCATGGCTGAGGCCCAGGCTCCCTACACATCTAAGGAAGACTTTGGTCTCCCCAGGCTCTCTGGTTCTTCTGAAGCTGACCCCTTGGGGTTGAAAGAAGCTTTGGAAAGCTGTGGTTTAGCTTCTTGCCTCAGACTCAACAGTCTCAAAGGAGTGCTAAGATTTTTCCAGACCACAAAGTCTAGCTGGGAGGTTCAGAGGATAAACTTTACATGGATAGTGTCCATGTCTCGCAGATATCCAGCATGTAGGATGTGCTCAAGGCCCTGAGGAGTAACCCTTCATGTCCCTGAGTATATCAGATCCAGCCTCTCAGAATACCTGTTCCTTCCCATCCCACTGTACTTTCCACAGTATACCACTGCTCAAGAGCCTGTATGGTTACTCCAGGACCACTTGCCTCTATTCCTTTTGGGGAGATCATGTGTCCCTCAGAGCTAGACCAGGCCTGGATTACTCATATTTGATTTCCAGAGCCTTAACAAGGCACCCGGCACTTTCTGGCCTTAGTCAATATTGGATGGATGGATGGATGGATGGATGGATGGATGGATGGATGGATGGATAGATGGGTGAATGATTAGATAGATGGGTGGATGGATGGGTAGATAGTGAGTGGATGGATGAGTGGATAGATAGGTGGATTCTGAATAACTGGATTGAGGGATAGATGGGTGAGTGGATAGGTGGATAAATTGATAAACTGATGGATCAATGGATAGATAGGTAGTTAGGTGGATGGATAGAACAATGGTTAGATGGATGTATAAGTATTTGGGTGGAATTGGTGAATAGATATAAAGATGTATGGGTGAGCATATTTATGGATGGATGTGGGTATAGATAGACAGATGGGTGGACAGACAGGTGGATGGATGGATGGATGGATGGATGGATGGATGGATGGATGGATATGTGAATGAGTGGATGAATAGATGAGCACCTAAGACTGGTTTCAACAGCAGGGACATAGTGTCACCTTCTTTTCGAGTCCAAGGGTACCCAAGGGGGCAAAGAATAGATGAGGACAAAAGAACATGGCACAAGCGGTCCAGGCTACATTATAAAATAAGAAATGTCACTCCCTTCCTGGTGTCTAGTCCAGGGTGAGTCAAATGGTGGGGAACATGTGTCTGGAGTAGACAGCCTTGGAAATGATCTATCTTGTAATGTCCAAGTTCTGGAAGTCATATATCACTTAGTTTTCATTGGTCATGTATTTGTTGAGTAGATCATGAATGACATCAAGAATGAAATCATTGTGGGCGTGGTGGCACACACCTTTATCACCAGCATTCAGGAAGCAAAGGCAGATTTCCGTGAGTTGGAGGCTAACCTGATCTACATAACGATTTCTAGGCAAGCCAGGGCTACCTTGTCTCCAAAAAGAGAGAGAGAGAGAGAGAGAGAGAGAGAGAGAGAGAGAGAGAGAGAGAGAGAGAAAACCAACAACAATGAAGAAACAATGGATCATGAAGAAAGCAAACATTAATAATAGAATGATCTCTCTCTCTCTCTCTCTCTCTCTCTCTCTGTGTGTGTGTGTGTGTGTGTGTGTGTGTGTGTGTGTGTGTGTGTGTGTCTGAGAACAACTTTTGAGTGTCATCCTCAGGAATGCCACCTATCTCCATTAAGATGGGGTCTCTGGTTAGCCTGAAGCTCACAGGTAGGCTAAACTGGCCGGCCATCTAGCCCTAGGGATCCCCCTATCCCTGCCTCCCCTGCACTGGGATTGTAGGCACATGCCACCACATCTGGCTTTTATGTGAGTTCTGAGGATCAAGGTGAGGTCCTCATGCTTGTAAAGCAGGTACTTTACCCACCAAGCTGTCTCCCACCACAGAAGAACTTTCACCCCCACACAGGACAACTTAGGAAGATGTGTTCCTTCTAGACCCTTGAGTGTGTTATGATGTCATTTCCACTCTGCTCCTCCTCCCTTATTGGCATGATTGCCCGAAAGCAGACCAGTGGCCCAAGAAGGAAATCAAGTCAGGAACTGCTGGGGATGATG